ACATCCTTCTATATTTTTTAAAATCCAAATGTACCAAATAAAAATCACCTCCCTGGAATTTCAAGATTAAAAACGCTTTTGCGTGGAATGGCAAACCATTTGCAGGCACTATATTTTGGAATACTGCTTTTCAAATAAAAGATCCTGGGTGGGGAATGAAAGATGGGGAAATGTCATGAAAGGATAGGTCTTGCCACAACAGAAGCTAAAAATCCCTTGTTGGGAAAACTGGGATTAGGTAAGGCAGACTCGAAGACAAAGAAGAGGAATCAGCTGTTGCGAACAACAGGAGCGCATGGTTCACAGAACTGGTGAGAAAATCCTCCTCCTTCTGTTTCCTAGAAGTTTCTTCAGGAGTCAGGTTACATCATAGCCAGCCAATTGGGAGCCAGTGTGATGCTCCACAAAGGAATCTTCTTCTGAGGCAAGCTGGGCATTGAGACAAGCCAGAGGCAAGGTGAGAGAAACAATCAATACATCAGCCTCTATGGAGCCACTCAGTTTACTTACCCAGGCAAATGGGATGGCTCCACAGAGGCTTACATCATGTGTTGCATACATCTTGGCCACATTAACTGTGAAACAGACAGACTAAAAAAATTTGCAGGATACAGAGGTCAGGTAGAAAAGAGAACAGACAAACTCTGCTGCCCTGGTTCTCTCAGGACTGTCTCAGGAAAATAACTTTGAGCTCAAATGTACCGTATTTTTCGCTCCATAAGGCGCACCTGACCATAAGACGCACCTAGTTTTTAGAGGGGGAATTCAAGAAAAAAAATATTATTTAAAGGGTGCGCTGAGCAGAGCCTTTATGCATCCCAGGCTCTGCTCAGCGCTCCCTTTCACGAGCCGCGTGGAGTGTGTGTGTGGCTCTTGGGGGCTTTTCCTGCCTGCCTCCCCCCTGCATTCGCTCCAAAAGATGCACACACATTTCCCCTTACTTTTTAGGAGGGGAAAAGTGCATCTGGAAAAATATGGTGGAGCGAAAAATACGGTATTTAACAACAACAACAATAACAACAACAACAGTTGTTGTTGTTGTTGGCTAGTTGCTTTATCTTTGTGAAGGACCCGGATGAGATGGGCAGCCTGGCGCGGCCTATGAATTGCTAAGGAGCCTTGAGAGGAGAGCGAGGGCAACCATAGAGAAAGCAGTTGGAGGAGGAGGCGGAGGCACGGGCAGATATTTCAAGGGCTAACTGTAGAGGCGGAAAGCGGAGGAAGGACCGCAAGCACTTCTCCCATAGATTTGTAGTGGTAGACTAGCATAGATGGTCTGATCTGCGGGTTTACTTCGGGCGCTATTCCCCCCCCCTTCCTCCCGCCCCACCTGATGGAACTGAGAGCTGCAGATGGAGCACGAAAGAAAAGATACAGAACTGCAGCAGCATCTTCGTAGCTTGGACTTCGTTTTGCTCGAAAAGTGGTTGCTGCTTGTAGTTATTTAATTGCAGTGTTTCATCGGATGGTGTCTTGAGCAGCAACCTCTGGAAACGAAGGGCTAAAAACCGGTGCTGCTCTCCCAAATTGTCTGGTCCCTTTTCACTTCGTATTCCAGCTGGTTGACTAAAATCCCTTATTTTGGCTGCTGATCCCTTATTTTTGAGGCTGCTGGTTCCTTATTTTCAAATCTGCAGGTTGACAGCTATGGCTCCATGCCCTCCTTGAGCGCTTTGGCCTGGCTGAACTGTGTCCTTGAACTGTGATAACGCCTCTTGCATGCATGGAGAGAGGGAGGATATGCATGTCTGACATTTGCAAGGCTGCAGTGCATCCAATTGCGCAAGGCGTCGAGACGCGCCCTTTGCTCCGCCCCCTTTTCCTCGGAAAAGTTGTCCGTGAGGTAATGTGGGCCTTGGATTGGAAAAAAGTTCTCCACCCCTGGTCTTGGCAATAGAGGCCTGTTCCCCAAAGTCCTGACTCAAGGTTTGGTTCTAGAGATGAAAGATTTGCATACAATGAAATGACAAGGATCCCCAGAGATGTCTCTGTTTTGTGATGGAATTATAAGCTGGTGACTCGTTTGTCTAGCCAGGTAATAACTGTAATTAGTGCAAGAGGTAACAAGGCGGACCTTAGGTATTAGATATTTCATGAGCACGAAGGACATTTTATGGGGAGACAATTATGAAGAAAATGCTGGCTCTCTGGAAGGAATTGTGGGTTAGACATGATAGGCTCAAAAAGTATCCTAAATGTTGTTATTCTAAAGGGAGATGGGAAAGGTTTATCTCAATATTTTATTCTGTTGCTCTCAAATATTATCTACACATAGTAAATTCCTGCACTCTGCTAGGATGGTTAAAAACAGCCCAAAATTGCAGTAGCTTGCAAGAGTCTAAAACAGACAGGTCAAGAGGTCGTTTTCTGCCTAAACCAGCTACTTGAAACTGCTGATGCTAGCTACAGGTCAGAAGGTCGCTTCCTGCCCAGCCAGAAACTGCTGTTAACCGAAAAACCACTAGCAAGATGTTTCCTGCTTTACTTCTGCTTTTAAGTAATGCAAGAATAAGAAGAGATAAGACACGTGTACAAGGAGGTGGGAGGGAGTGCTTGGCTTAGCAGAAAGACAGGAATGTTTAGCAAGCAATAAAATGTGTTTAGCAAGCAATATTTGCTAGCCGATTGGGGAAGTCTGGGGGTATAAGAAAGTCTGCTGAAGTGTCTTGCTTTACAGCCAGTGTATTTTTAGGAACTATCCAGCTGGTTGTCTCTGAGTACAGACCTTGTCTCTGTGCACAGATCTCAATAAACTCTTTTTCTCCAAAGAAGATTTTGCTTTCCTGGTACTTTTGTTCCCTCCGAGGTCCAGGGGATGGCGTGGCTAATGGATCCCTAGGTAAATAAGGCTTCATCTCTCTGGGGGCTCGTCCGGGATCAGCCCCCTCCCCAAATACGGACCGGAGGGCCAGGCTCAACCAAGGTGAACAGCTCCAATCGGCGTTCGCATTTCCGGTGCACACCCTGCCAGTTTGTAGGGGGAGATTGCCACACCGTCCTGGAGCAGAGACATCTGGTTGAGGGAGAACAAGAGGACAGAACGGCGCCGAGGGGACAGGTCCGCAGCGGAGAAAGGTAAGCCCGAAGGAAAGGGCTAGGGGCCCGAGGGAAAGGGCCAGAGGCCTGATCAGCCTCACCTGGTAGTTGGCAGTAGAGTGCCCGTGCAGTAAGAATGCCACCAGGAAAGGAATTGGTAAAGGTTTGGGAAAGGGAATGGGGCAGAGGGAATTGAGTGTTTTGTTGGCATGTTGTGTGTCAGATACTCTAGTGGATGAATTGTTGAATGAGGGCCAAGGCTTAGTGTCCCCTTGGCCGAGCGATTGTAGGGTTGTGCATTTTCTGACAATCTGTAGCATGTGGAGTGTGAGAGAATTTTGAAACCCGGATAGGAGGGGAGTATCTGAAAAAATAGGGTCTGGAGCAAGCCAATGTATTCCTCTGGAATGCTTTTTAAATAACTGGAAAACAGCCACGAAGAGTGATGATTCAAATTGAAAAAACAGAGACTCAAAACTTTATGTGAGGTGGACTTGCCAACCCAGGGAACTGCATGGCTTTGATTTGCAATTAATCAACCCCCTGTGGCAAATCAACCCCCTGTGGCAAAATATATTAAATGTCCACCCAGACCAGATCCCCTATATCTCTACATGGAAGACCAATGTAAAAAAAAAGAATCTACCATGGCTAAAGTCTTGCTGTGACAGCAACACACAGAACAGGATTTGTACAGTGAAGCCTCTGGTGTTAGAAGACCCAGAAGATGAGGAGGGGGAGTGGATTTAAAGCCAGTAATAACCAC